GAAAGTGGGGACAAAAAGGATTATTAATAATGATCTTCATTGGTAAATATACCCTAACAGGTCAACCTCCACGTGGTTCCCCCTCTGGAAACCACAGTGGTTGGTTCGAGATGAATTTATTACGATGGGCAAGCTGATCTGCCTGCAATCTCACATTTTCCCTTTATTGGTGCCCCGCCAGCGTATACGAGTACTAATGCGCAGGCGGGGTTGTCATACCATTTTCACCCATTAAAAAAGCCTAGGAAGGTTTTCTGTGGGAAACCTTAATTTAAGATATGAATACAATAATCATATATCTATAATTTATATATTCCTATAGAATAATAACGCTGTAACACGGATAGTGCAGGTGATAAGGTATTATCATATTAAAAAAGTGTAATTAGGGTGATAAAAAATTTTTGTGATACTCAGTCACGTCGGTGTGACAAATTTACAAAGTTGGTCAAATTATAATTGCATGTGACTGTACCTATCTATCAACGGATTATCTTTTTAGGGTACAGATTACTATTTTAGTGCAAAATTAAACATTGTTCAATACATAATTCTTTGAAAAATTATAATCAATTAGAGTTTAGGTAAACAAAATACTATTTAAAATTGTCATTTCAAAAGATTTACGTCAAACTTAAGAACGTTAAATCCCATTCTTATGACAAAACAAAGAATGGATGATGACCGATTGGCCTTTTATTTATTTAAAGTTTATTTACGTTCAATTTGTAAGGATTTCGGTATCATTGTATTTAAATTGTTATTTTCCACTTTTTGTCACTCATAAACGTTCCATTACTGAAATCCCCGTAAAAGACGATATTTTATGTACCACATATCACAGTCGAACAATACCTAAAGCTTATCTTAAGGAGGAAAGAGACTGTTAATAATGTGATCTAACAGCTAGCTAGCTCCATTGCTAGTAATATACTTTATCAGGTCGACCGCCGTACAGTTCCCTCTTGAATACATCGTGGTTAATTATTACTGAATTTGTCACGATGTGCCAACTGACCTACTTACATTCTCACCCAACATCCCTCACTGATGCACCGCCAGTATATACCGATAGCGCAGGTAAGGTTATCGTTCCATTTCCATCCATTAAAATAAAGAAAGCAGGTTACTTTTTCTCATATTGTTGTATTGTCCGTTATTTCTACAGAACATTCTGTAAATTAATGTTGTAACATATGGTATTTTGAAGGGAAATTACTTTTAATAACAGAAAATAGCAATGCAATATATCCTATCAGGTTAATTCCTACACAGTTATCTCTAAATATTATCGTAAAATTATTAATTTACTCTTGCGCTTCCTCACTTCTGTGTATATATTCTCCTTTAACCGAAGGTTGTCTATAAGAGATTGTCCTAGCGATAAGACTGCTTTTTGTACCTTTATGTATATATTTCTATCTATACTTTATGCTACTGTATTTCACTTGAATTGTTTATATGTCATTGTTTATTTTTATGTTTTTGGTGCAATAAAGAGTTAAAAAAATAAATAAATCGTGCCTGATTACTGGTTAATTAATTCCTTTACTTATATCTATCAATCCTTGTACCGAGTCAGCGAAAAGCAATAGCGGTAGCAAGCTTACGATTCCATTTTCATCTAGGTACATTAATTACATGCTCAAATATGAAAACTTACAGCTAAATCCAGTGTTACTAATTAGTAAAATTATTATTTTTATAAAGGCTCGCATTCTTTTCTCGAATGGTTAGAAATTTTAAACACATTTTACTTCTGACTCATTTCCTTTGCTTACAGACTTATGCACCTTCATTGAGGATGCTAGGATGCCCTCGATTGATATGCCCAGTAACTTCTACATAATCGACTATTATTTATCTTCCAGACATGCTTTTAACACTTTATCTGATTGTAATATTTTCACAAGTCCTGTAACCAATTCTTGCCGAGTTCATTTGAATTATAAGATATCTAATTTCAACGCAGAAATGGATTGTTGAATTTGAGACCTGATCTTTCTAATATAGTAATGAAGTAGTATACTAATAGTGTTTATTATGAATTTAACGGTTCGTGTTCCCGTTACTTCAAAACATCCTTCGGTAGTGTATTGTGACGTCATCACTGTCTATGTACGTTAGCATCCACATTGGGGTCAATTCCCGCCAATATATACATGTGGCTAAGTAGGTCTTACTGACAGCTAATTATTAACGGTTCGTGTTATAATTACATGGCCTACTTTTTTCTAAAGTTTTAAAAAAGTTTATATATACGTTTTCATGTATTAATTCTAAACGTCTGTGAATATCTTCTTGTTATAAAAATATCTCTCATTACCACTTTCAACCATTGATCGCTTGTAACACTGGTACAGGACTTTTTTAATTTTTATTAATTAATAGGTAATCTATCGTTATTCTTTATCACGTAAAACATAATATATAATAAAAGAATGAAATATATATATGTATATATATTCTGATATCATGTTGAATTTTTAAAATATGCTTATAATATATTCGATGTTGTTAATTTTTTTAGATTTAATAGTGTAACATGTAATTCATCTAGAAGAACCATCACCATGTTTTATAAATATAATAGTAAAATACAAACAAAAATGATCCACTTACCAACATGTGATAGGCTGGTGAGATCTGATTCTGAAATGAAAAAAAAAATGCGTGAAAACAATGTAATGATGCGTGCACAAATGGTGAACGGTGTGGACTGCCGTTCGGTGAGCGTGGACTGTAGGGGCGTTGGTTCAGGCTGGAGTGAAACACAGGGATTACTATTCTGAAGCCTCCGGTACCGTCTGAAGAGAGTATTTTTTCTTCTTGTCCTATTTCTTCTCGAGTGTAGTGCGTCGCTGCCCGGAAGCGAATGCCGCTCGACGGGAGGCGGCCTAGCCCGCTCGCACGATAACGTTTCCAGCGATAGCGATCTGTGCGAGCGGGACGGGGCGAAAATGAACGAGACGCGTGTCTCTTCAGATCGGTACTCTATAGCGTCTATTTATTTATTTTATTTCAAACAATTTCTTAATTCTATTTATTATTACAATTTCTATTCGTAGGTAATAACGACAACACGCAAAGGAATACTTTATTTAACTTACACTATCTTAAATCTATGTAAATCTATATAAAATAACAGAATACAGAAACGATTAACTAGGGACTTAACAACTATAAATTACGATATATACAAATAATGTCGCGAACAAATGGTGAGAACAGAGGTACAAATACATATAAACATTTAGTAAGAAACAGTTTATAGACATGTAACTCACTCGCATTATTTAGGTAATAGATAAAATGAATCCTGCGAAATATTGAAACTGAATCGAAATCACATCGAATAAACGTCAAATATAAAGTAAGGTATTCGATTTGACGCCTTTTCAATATCATTCTGATTTGATTCCAAATAGGTTCCGTCAAAACGTAACCTCGTTGGTCATTTCTGACACTTTGTAATTTTACATTTAAATATTTTTTTTTTCGATTTACTTCCAATAAGGTTGCATTGAAGTGTAACCTCGTAGGTCATTTTTAACACTTTGTAATTTTACATTTAAATATCATTTTTTTTTCGATTTACTTCTAATAAGGTTGCATTGAAGTGTAACCTCGTAGGTCACTTCTGACACTTTGTAATTTTACATTTAAATATAAAATTTATTTAAATATTGTAATAATACTATACACTGTTTCATACTCAACATGTCATTGACATTACAGAAGCGATGATACAAAGTCGATTATGAGACATGAATGAGCCGTAGTTTTTTCATTTCCTTGACAATGACTTTATAATAAAAGCAATAGAAGGATTTTTTTTTAATATATATTTGTTTCTTATACTTCATTATCTTTCAACCAGATATTTCTAGATTTTACCGACAGGTTGAAATAATAACAGGAAAAAACATTTATAAAAATTTTAAATATATAATTACATTTAATAAATACTATATCCACATTTAATGGCGTTTCTTATAATTGTTTCCTTGTAAATTGTAAGCCTTTTATTTACAGTGTCTGTTTTATCTTTTTTATTTTAATTTTTGTCTGTCTTTTAATTATTTATTAGTTTCTTTATTATAAGAGTCTGGATAAATATAATTTGTTATTTTAATATTTAATTTATATATGAAATGTGTGAATTCTCTATAAATTTAGGAGACAATATATTTGCCTACTTCAAATTCATACAATTCACCAGAGAGAGACATTGTACAAAAGTAGATTGCTTGGGTACCTCTGTCCCATTCTTGTTTCAACCGTGAAGCAGCTGTGTTTGCATGGCTGTGTTTCGGTTTGAAGGATGGGATATGGCGTGAATTTACTGGGTACAGAGGAATAACACCTGAGTCCTCAGGAATGGCAACGCATGGGGGGTATCATGGGCGAGACAGTATACTCTGTTATGTCCATGGTACTGCTCATGTCTATAGGCGACGGTTACCATTTTCTATCAGGTGGGCCGTCAGCTTGCTTGCCATTCTAAGTGATATAAAAAAAAATCATAAGACAATATTATTTAAATGTCTAAAAAAATATATTACTTTAATCAGACGTCAAAATTCAGGTTATCTGTATATTGTAACATAATATATTGTGTATGTATTTATAAAATATAGTATCGCAAAATACTGATAAATTGCGGTTTAAAGCTGGTATGATAAAACATATGTATCAATGTAATCTAGTTTCGATAACGGTTATTCCCAGTTTAATAAGCTAGAGCCATGTTATTATAATTACCCGATTAGCTATTCTAATATTGTACGAGCGTTTTCTGGACTTTAACTCAATTACAAAGTTGTATCGTTTTTCCTCTACGTTTTGCCATGTGCCAAATTTTGTTCAAGAATTTTCATTTCTCTAAAATTTTGCAAACAGAATTTTTTATCTAAAATTGCGAAAAAAAGTTCCAAATCTGATAACGTCGTGCTGTATAAATATGCCGAAATGATTTCGATATCATCAGTTATATTCACTCAAGCTTCATAACGATTGCATCAGTATTATTGCGTGATTAAAAATAATAAGTTGATTTCTTTTTTTTACTTTATTATTGTTTTGTCGTTTACATATTTGCGGTCAGCACGGTTTGTTCTTTTATCGATTCCCATAGCATATTTTCTCAATCTTCTTTATTGTCCTCCTATTATTTTACCTCATTAAAATCAAAATATCGTATTATTATTAATATAGTATTATAAATAATCATATAGCTCCATGCAATGTCCATCATGTACGCAGACCATAAAGAATTAAGGCCTGCGCATATGATGGACATTTTGTAAGCGGATAATTATATCTACTATCTATATTATAGGTATCTACGAAGGTTCTTAACAAGTCTTGAACTATTTCCTCGTAACATTGTTTTGTTATTTCCGTAGATGTTGATATTCCGATCACAATATAAATAAAAACTACAAAAGAATTGCTCGTGTCGTAAATTAAACGTGCAATTGATTGCTGCAAGATTAATTGTCATGTCTGTCCGCCATATTGAATTTATTGTAACGTCACAGGTTATATTCATTCTTGACGTTTAAACTATATCCATCAAATTTTTTGAGCGACTTTTTAATGTCGCTCAAAAAATAGTCTATAATATAATAAAAGTCTTTCTTTTGAGAAAGATATTTTCATTTCGCGTTTATTTTCATGCAAGTATGTTACGCGATACTGTCGCCAATTCTGGACCGATTATAATAATTCTTTTTTAAATCGATCGTGTTTAACCAACATTAATTTCGTCGCAATCGAAATCACTGTTTATGTGGAGCACATTATTAATTTATCAATGCAGCTTGAATTAATTAAAACATTTTGAAAACTCACCTTGTTAGTTTTTTTTTTTTAATAACTAAACTCGTAGTCTATTTTTCATAAACTTAAAATGTAATAACAAAAGATATATAGAACAATATGTGTTTCGGTTTGAAGGGTGGGATATGGCGTGAATTTACTGGGTACAGAGGAATAACACCTAAGTCCTCAGTAATGGCAACGCATGGGGGGTATCATGAGCGTAACAGTATACTCTGTTATGTCCATGGTACTGCTCATGTCTATAGGCGACGGTTACCACTTTCCATCAGGTGGACCGTCAGCTTGTTTGCCATTCTAAGTTGTATAAAAAAAAAAAAAACAATAATATTTTACTTTTTCATCACTTCAGCCATTAATTATCCAGTGCTAAAGATAAGCCTTCCCTATAAGAGTTTTGCAGGTAGTTGCTACGCTCGGTAGGCGGGTAAGTTCCCTTAGTAGAGGAAAAGGAATTGTTAGTAAAGACTGTAAAATCTCATTGTTGGCTATATAATATATTCTATCAGGTCGACCTCCACATGGTTTCCCCTGGAAACCATAGTGGCAAATTCTTGTTAAATTCGTCATGATGGGCTAACTAACCTGCTTCATTCTCACCTATCATCACTCACTGGTGCCCCGCCAGTGTATACCGATAGCGCAGGCAGGATTATCATTCCATTGTCACCCATTAAAAAATAAGTTCCCTTAGTCGCCTCTTACGACACCCACAGGAACTGGAGACCGGTAGACAGCAAAGGTCGCCAGTTCGGGGGCCGACCACATACTCTTTTTTTGTTGCAGTATCCGGCCGTAGTACCTTCCTAATGCTCCTCAAATATTGCATCTAAACTGCGTCCACCATGTACCCTCTTGTATAGGCATTCCGTCACCCGTATCCAATAGCGAGGACGGGATGCCTTAAATACTGTACCGCAAATCATAAAAAAAAGACACCCACAGGAAAGGAACGAGTGACCTATTCTATGCCGGAACCACACAGCCAATTTTATTCTTTATGTTTGGTAAAATAGTTACGTAGACGATTATGTGCTATAAATTGCACTTTAGCAACCAGACCTAAAAACCCGTTCATATAAAACTGTACTACATACATAGTAAATGCACGAGCTATTAATTTTATGAGTAATAAACAAATTTAGCCTCTTCATAAATAGTCTCTTACAAACCCTCTTGAATTGTGTAAGTGTATTTTGTAATTTTCTTTTAAATTAAAAATTTTGTTCAAAATAAAGAAAAAAAAAATATACTCCAATAACTATAATCTATTTATTAGACATCACCGGACTTCATACAGTTTTTTTTTTAATAAAATATAGCCTATATCACTCACTGATAATATTACTTTCTATAGGTGAAGGAATTTTTATAACCGGTTAAATATTTTTCGAATTTATCCATTAGAAACAAAACACCAAAACTTTCTTGTTTATAATACATATATACTTTTTTTTTGTTTTATGTACTGGATTTGGATTCCCAAGCACTTGCGGTTTATAGTACATACTAATATAATAAATGTGAAAGTGAGTTTGTTTATTTGTCACCTTATTGCGTCATAATGGCTTCATCTGCATCATCATCAACATATTAGTATTGTATTTATTTATTTATATTTATTGCTGAACATTAGCCTCACCCTCTTGGGGAGGGTCGTGCCAATAGTTGCCACGCTTGGCAGACAGATTGGCAACCACAATTTGGCTTTCGAGATGTTTTAAGAGGGATACGACTGCCGATCCCTCGCCTTCCCTTAGTCGCCTCTTACGACACTCACGGAAAAGGAAGGGGTGGCCTATTCTATGCCGGGAGCATACGATAATAATGGCTTAACCTATCACTATTAAATTTGGTATACACGTACTATATGGGATAGAGAAGGATATAAGCTACTTTTTGTCTCGGTCAGTAAACGTATCCCGATCATGCGGACGAAGTCGCGAGTAAAAGGTAGTATATAGTATTTTTTACGTATACATATATACCGAGTTAATATCAATCTTGGTCACAATTCTGACGGTCGCGGTATCTTTTCATGTTAGGTAATTTTATTTTATATAGACAGCGTTGTAACAAATGAGCCTTCCGTGTTTGAAATCCATTGACAGTATCAATATTTGTATGCATAGTGTTATCTACTAAAGTCCAAATTTGATACAGGTATTTGGCACAACCACGATGCTTCAAAGTAAACGCTCTGAATCCAAATTCCATATTAACATATTTATTGTACACGAACTTATTGAATAAAGGACGAAATATTTGTAAAAAAAAAAAACTAAAGGCCAGTAACCTTACAAAGGTTATATAAATAATTTTTCGCTTTTATGATAAAAGATGAAGGTAGGTATACGTTAATGATTATATTTCCTTAAATATAGATCAAAGTAATTAAGAATACACCAGTGACAGATTCTATCAATTTATTATATTCGATGATATAAATTATTGTGATTTTTGGGCGCATTTCAATAGACACAAGTGGAGTGTATGTTGAATTTCCTTTCTAATTATTGGGTTGGGTTTATTTCTAATTTTATAGGCAACTATTATAGGCCACACGTGGCATGAATCACGCACAATACCACACCCATTGATTTTTTTAAGAAGATACGTAATACACTTAGAAAATAAATAAGAATGTCCCAGATTGCACACATAGACACTTCACCATATTACCACAGTGTAAGAGTAATTTCTTTATACTCGTATGGTGATACTATTATTAAATTATTGAAAAGAGATGGAGTGATTAAAACAATAGAAATAAAAAAGATGGCTAGATTTTGTCATTTGTGATGTACAAATGTATATGCAAATGTTATTGTGGTACTATGTAATTCCATCTCCAACACAAAAAGAGTATTTTATTGCAAAGAACAATGTATAAAACAAGTCTATTTAAATAAAGATAATTTAAATTGAAGAACCTACAGGTGATTCCATTTTCGGCACTAGAGACGGATCTTATGTTGTTTATAATGCAACAATAGACAAAATTCTTCTATGTAATACCGTACGATATCAGCTGGTAATTGTCCACTGTTAAACATAGGCCACCCTCTATTGGTGGGTTTTGCCAGTAGTTGTCATGCTTGGCAAGTGGGTTGGCAACCGGCCTTGAAGATGTTTTAAGAGGGTCACTGCTGCCTATCTCTCAACTATAATGTTCTCTTAGTTGCTTATTACGACAACCACGGTAAAGGAAAGGGTGGCCTGTTCTATGCCGGGGCTACAAGGCACTTTTATATAATATAAAGGTCAAATTGAGAGATTATTATCATTAATTGTAGAATCTATTACACTACCATGACCACGAGTGACCCACAATAACACGCCGAGTTCAATTCCGAAACTCATATGGAAAGACCTCAAATTTTTTGTCACTTTTTGACTTTTCTTCAGACAATTAATATTGTGTTCCACAAAATTCTATGATAGTATTAGGGTTGGGCAATTTATAAAAATATCTATATATTTTGATTACAATATCTATATATTATATTTATATAACTACATGGGACAGATAAAGGAAACACTAGACGTCATGTCGTATAGGGAGATAAAGGATATGGCCTCAGATAATTAATATTGGAGGAAGATGCATGAATATAATTGCACCGACATATATAAAAATATCTATATATTTTGATTACAATATCCATATATTTAACTAATAATGAATATGTTAAATTATCTAATATACTACATTGAAATAAAGAACTTGATCGAAATGAATATAGGTATTCGACCGGTATGGGTGATATCGAAATAAATATAAACAATTTTTCCTCTACAAATATCCAGAGAAACTATTGAGTTTCTCTGGATTCTCTGGAACATCTGTTCCACTTCGATATCTATATATTGATATAGATATCGAAGTGGAACAGATGTTACCTATGCCTAGATAGTACATAGGTACATAATACATCTAATACGTAACCGTCACTGTTTTGTTTTAATGGAAATTATCTCAAAGACCTTATCTAATTGGTATTGTTGATCGGAGAAATAAGTGGATAATTGTGTTTTATTATCATCACTAACACCCAGATGATGGCAGTGACGTACATCCAAAATTAGCAGACATTTTGTCAATAATATTTGTGCAAAGAAGGATGCCACTGACGTCGATGGTGGTTGACATGAAAATAGAAATACATATAAGATGAAAACAATTCGTATCACATCATTTACAGATCGAAGAAAACAGTGACATGTAAACAGAACAGAGAAACAAAAACATTATGATAACGTGCAT